TGGTAATGAATGTTGCAAGAAAATGTACTTCAATGATTGCACCAGCTAAAGACTATCTCAACTGGATGTGCCCAAAACATAATAACGATTTATAAACACTCTGCCAGAAAACATGAAATATGTTACTGATTCTACTAAAAATAGATCAATTAATAAAACGTAACCTAAACGCAGTAAACACATAGACAGGTAGTATTTAATGGTTAAAGAATTGTACTTTGTAAGAGTTCTGTCGACTGCCGTTGAAACAACGTGGACGTAACATTATCTTATTTATCTATTTAGCAATTTGAAATTTTGTCAGCAGAGCGAGGCTGGTGCCACATAATAGGACATAGGGTCCCCTCCGAGGTAAATTGCACCAATTTCAAGCCAACCTCGTAAAATCCCATACCCATACCACAATCAACCCGTTAATAAATGAAATCATTAGTAAAGGCCAGTCACAGGGTGGTCACCACCAGTGTTTCTTTATTTACTTCCTCAGTGATTCTTTTATGTCCCTCCGATATTAGTTATAGTAATAACAAAGTGTGGAGAGAAGGGAACGCCATTTAAAGTGGTCATCAAAGTTTAAGTTTGTTAATTTACAAGACATCTTTGAAGGAAAACAAATTTTAATCTCAGTAGATTTGAAGGTTTGAATCATAACGGACTTCTCAGGCCAAGAAAACATGCATTTTAGTAGAAGTTTAAGCTTCAAAGGAAAACAAAATACTTTGTATGTTGAAATATTTATTCCTTTATTGAACGATTGTAAGTGTTTTTACGTATGTGCCGTGAGTAGAATTTTAGAAAAAATCATTTTGATGGACATATACATTTTAAAGTTTGAATCGTAACGCGTGTTTCACGATTATCAAATAAGCATTTTAGTACAAGTTCAGTGCTTTTTAAAATACCATAAATATTAACGGAAAACGAAATCTAAGGGATCGAAATATTTATTCCTATCCCGACTACAATTATTTGTGTCACAGGAACTTAAGAGATCCCAGAAGCTAGACACCTGTCAAAGGTGTTGTAGTAGCTATGCAAATGTGGCTTATCAAAGATTTAGCAGCATGGACCTAAATGGTTGCGTTTGTTAATCGTTGACACCTTCACTTGTTGCTATGATTACGGCAAACAGTCTGTTTACAAAAGAATTAGAAAGAATAAATTTTGCCATCATGTATACAACTTCATTGGAAATCTTGAACAGTAATTAAGGAAAGCTAAGGATATACTGAATAATCGAACATTCGTCGATCGACTTACTTTTAATTAGTGTAAAGACAAGTAATGAAGCCCCGTTATAAGCCAATAGATCGACCAGAATGCGAAGATACATGGTTCTGCTATTTTGTTGCTCCAAAAGGACAAGGTCAGCCGAGTGCTATAGCTAAACCTCTATCTCAAGTCCCTGACTTGAATCAGGGGCGAAAAAGTACCACCAGCGGGACAGAAAACCGTAGAACACAAGTCAGAGGAGCAGCAAATCCAAATGATTCCAATTATATTCATCTAGCAAAGGCTGGTGGAAGGAAAAATTTGCTGACCTTCACTGAATCGAAAGCAAAAGGACCAGTGCCTTATCCCATGCCAGAGTGGTACTATGATAACTTTCCCGATCATGATAGCAACACTGTGAAAAGAGATTCAACGACAAGGTATCCACAGAGACCAGACTGGATGACACATCTTGAGTATGACCAAACGACATATCAGCACAAAACGCCTTACCACGCTAGCCGTGGAATCATCGCTTGGGACAAGATGTCTGCTTGGAAACGGGAAGAGTTCGATAAAAGGATGCAACAGAAAGCAAAGGCAACATACGAAAAGAAGCGAAGAGAAGAAAGACAAGAGCGCAAGAAGAAACACGACGTATATTCAAAAGTAAATAGTACTGGATTAACCGAAGGAGCAAGAGTTAGGCTTCCTAAAATCGAACCAAAAAACCTTCCAGGGATGAGAAAACTATCCGGTGCTGATCTTAAGGTACATTGGTATGAAAAATGGTACATCACTAATCGTGCTTAAGAAGACGCGGCATTTCTGTCCGACTTGTAGTTCTCAGCCTCACATTGTCAATGGCTCAAGTATGGAAGAGAAAGAATTGTAATGTCTTTAGATGCAATGTAAATGGCTGAGAGCGTTTGACTATTCCGAAAGCACGCAAACGAACTATCCTAATCTCCCTAATCTATAACATGTAATGCTTAATAATAATCGACCTCACCTACAATATCATATTTAAAAGAAAAGTCTGTGGCTTTATGGATTAGTCTTAACTGAATTCTACGTATATTGTAGTTTCTGAATCACTAAGAAGGTATTATGGCATTCTTGTGTACATTTCTCCTGATGATGTTTGAGCAACTAATGTATTTTGTTTTTGTTTTTTAGTGTTAGTTCCTTCCCAAAGCGGCTCAATATAACTGAGTGGCAAACGAAATCTAACGGTTTATTATATTTTTATTGCTATCTTAAGCCTGGTTCACACGGTGTCATAATCATAATCATAATCGTAGTCGCAATTATAACGAACAGCGCGTGTGAACCGTAGCGTCATAACCATAAGCACAGGCGTAAGCACGATCATAAGGAATGGAAACGTTCCGATTCTCTTACGATTACGATTATGATTATGACCTTATTTCATACGTGTGAACCGTACAAACTGAGTCATAATTATAAGCCGGGTGAGACATGAACGTATATGTGGACAATTTGATCAGCGGATATACTGTGGAAAACCAACATTTTGAAAATTATTAAGCAATTCCGCTGTCCGGAGCACTCGCAGGCGGTTCGAAACTCACTACTGCGCATGTTTATTTTTCGTTCCTTATGATTACGATTATGATATGATGCCGTGTGAACCAGGCCTAAGCCTTGTTCACACTATCGTCGTAATCGTAATCAGAATCGTCATCGCAATCATAAGCATCGTAAGGTGCTTTGTAAGGCCTGGTTCACACGGCGTCATAATCATAATCGTAATCATAAGGAACGAAAAATAAAACCCCAGGATAAAGCTAACTCTTTACAATTTATGATTATCTTGAATCAAATAAAGCAAAGTGAAGATTTCTCTATGCACATGGATGCCAGATGATGATCGGTCTAGGCGCGCAAAGCATGATTTCCGTGATCGAAAAAGGATCAACCATTCCACCTTGCGACTACCTTTGAATACTAGATTTCGAAAGGTTTTTCGTTAACGTTTTCAAACTTGTACTTATTTTCCCTCTTACAATAATAGATAGCAGCCATCATGACTAAAACAATCGCTATCCCTATTGTAGCAAAGACCACCACTGAGATGTTTGGTTTCTCTGTTGTACGCTTGTCATCTGAAAACAGTCAAAAATATTTGTTCAATAATTTAAAAAAGCTAAAACATTTTTCCTAATTTGCATAAGCCAAAATACTTTTTACCAAGTCGTTTCGTTATTAATGGACCTTTTTACTAAAACTGTCACTATCTTTAACTGTGGGATGCCAAGAGACCAAACGTGGAAAAATCATAGAGTGGCGAGGGTACTTTTTAGAAATATTTACATAGCAACGCACAAAAAGTATGACCACATCTAATGTATTCGCATATTTCTATGCACTGGCTTTTTGCTGGAAAACCAGCTTCTTACAAGCCTTATTCGGTAAAAACCAGCCAGCTTCTCATCGAAATTTGTCGCTTTATGGTACAAAACTCCTAGCATAAAAGTTTGCGAATACATTAAATGTGGTAAAACGTTTGCACGTTGCGCTGTAGCGCTTTGGTGTACGTTCCTTTTACTTTCTTTTCTTAAGTCGTTCGTTTCTTAGCTTCTTATCTTTCTTTTCTTTAAATATAATTATTAATTTCCCACTGTATATTCTCATTACCTTTGCGAAGAACGGTGAGTTTCATGRAGTTGCTGTCTGACCTTTCGCTTTGCCTAGCAATACACTCATACTCTCCCGCGTCTTCAGTGTCAACGTTTTCGATAACGTAATGACAATGAAGTGTATCATTACAGAGGATTTGGTTGTTTCTCCGTATTTTTACAATTGGTGCAGGTTTTCCCTTAGCCTTGCATCCAATGATTGTTTTGTTGCCTTGTTGTACAACAAGGTTCGGGGTGAGCATAAATATTTTTGGCGATTCTGAAAAATAAAATAAAAACATAATGGACTGGTCAGTATTTATTTATCGACTAATAGGAGGATCGAATAATCATCCTGTGATCCCTCCAAAAAGCACAATATTCTATTTTATAATCCCACCCAGTTTGTTACCTGTCAACTATTTAGCAATTCATTATGTCAAAACGCGAAAGCCTCAAAGCAGTACTATTTAGCAATTAGTCCTCGAGTCCGAAATAGCAGATTTCTTTCCTAGTCGTAAAAACATGTGATGCACACAATCACCGATCCATTACTGACTCGGTATAKGATAATTATACAGTCAGTATGTTAATCACTACAAAATTAATTACTAATTACACTTGAACAAAAATCAATGTCAGTCCAATTTAGTGTCCATTTCAATGTATCAACATCATCGCGGGCTTAGCCTAGGAAGTATACTATATATAGTATTTACATGAAAACAATAAACTAAATTAAAATTTGCAGTAATCTATAAAATGGGTATGATACAAAAACAGAAAGAAAAAACAATTAAAGCTAAAATATACTAAAAGTTCTCAATTGAGTATATAGTACATGAAGCTAAGATGTATTATTATTATTATTATTATTATTATTATTATTATCATCATCATCATTATTGTTATTCTCATTTGTAAATTTTCTATTATTTCTTTTATTTTTGCTCAATTTGATCATATTCTATTCGTCCATCCTATCATTACGGACGCTCATTTTGTTAACTTATTTTCTTACCTCGCATACGTAGTTCGAAGAAGTTTATAAGTGGACTTCGGTACAACCCAACCAAAATATCGATTCCATATTTCTTGAAGTCCCTTGGTTTGAGGTGACGTATGGTAACAATAACTGAACAGTTTGCACACTCAGAGATGTTACCCTTATAGTACACTTTCTCGTCATATTCTGGCCTTGTTTTTAGTTTGTGGTGTGAATCCAAATACAGGATCTTAAGTTTGACGTATCCAGGAGGCGCCCACTCGCCAAATAGGAAATCTTTGATTTTGGTTCCTGATGGCGGTCTGGCCTCTATATGATAATCCCAAACCACTGTGATGTCCTTTCCTTCGTCCTCATAGAGTATTGATTCCGGAACGCGGAGGAAACGGGTCTCCTGAATGGCTGGAAACGAAATGAGTGGAAATGGAAATAAAGTCAGCGTGTTCAAAATTCTCCTTTTTTGCTGTCCACACTAATACAATAGGTGACTGTTTGCAAATGTCTCCATTTTTGATAACGTTTTCAAATGTGTGCGTTTTCAATCGTTTTGTGGACGAAAGGCCAAAAAAACAAAACGAATAAGAGTAGACGGGGCCTTAGTTTAGTGCTTGTATGACTAAATTGTTATTTTTTATGCTCGTGCCAAAAATGAAGAATTTAGAAAAATGAAAAGAAAGTGAAGGTAAAAATAAAAGATAAAAATAAATAAAACCAATTAAATCGTAACTTTATACAAATCAAAGTAATCACGTACAGGCAAAAGCCATAACTTATCTAATAAATGCAAATTTGGTCGTTTTGCATCCTATTCGAGTTTATATGAAGCTAGAATGGAGTTTCTAAGACAAAAATGCATACGTTATAAACCGTATAATTTGAATAGTGAAGTGCATTGCCGTGACCGCGCTTAGTGACTTTTCAAGCTGTATCATTGTTCGCGATCCAATCCGATGAATTTTAGATTTTAATAGGATAACCACATTCGCATTATAAAAGACTTATATGAAAAACTTATAATTGGATTCAATCCTGTTGTTTCTATCTTACGTTCTGACGGTTCCATTGTTCAATAAACTGTTGCCGGAAAGCCCCTCTTTGTCCCCAGACTCAGTCGAAGGGGGTTTTTATCCCTACTAGGATGCGCTGAGTCTTGGGGGGCAAACAGTCTTATTGTTCAATAAACGGATTACCATCGGCGGGCAGCAATTTCATATCAGATACCTTTACAGCATCTGCAGTTGTGATATTATATACTTATTTCAATAAAGTTAGTCACCAAAAACCTGGAAAGCTGAGATCACTAAGCATCATGGGAAACTTTTCATGACAACAAAGTACAGCCTTTTTGATACAAACTGCAGCTTGAGGATGCTCTCAGGAGAGGTGAGACTGTAACCTGGTAAAACTAGGTGTGCAAGTTCATCAACAGTTATCAAACGGCTGAAACATGTAAAATGTATCTACCCATCATCCTTGTCGGCCTCAGCTTTATAACTTTTCGGGTGACTAACTTTATTAATATAAGTATATATAGCTAGCAGGGGAGTGTAGATACGAGAGAACGTAGCGCGGAGCACCCAAAAAGTGCAAAGGGGAGCTTAGTTTGAACAATTTAGTGGATATCAGTGAAAAGTGTGGGAGTTATTTCTTCATTTAACGCTSAATGTGAATACAAAATAAGTTAACTTGCAATTGAAACCACTCCTTTCATTATTCAACCAAGTACGATGTTTTGATTGTCAGTATATAATTGTTCAATAAAAACACCCGCACTTGAAACAATAGAGGACTCATCAATAAGATTTTTTTTTTTTTTTTCATAATTGTCGAGTCAATCACATGAAATATATCAAGACTATTATATATTATAATATTATTATATAATATCTATTATAAAATTTACACTAGATTCTACACTAGAATCTACTATCTACAATAGAATCAACTATCTACAATTGAATCTACTATATACACTCAAGAATCTACATCAGATTCTGCGCTAGATTCTACACTAGATTCTACTATACACGGATTCTACACTAGATTCTACACTATAATCTACACACGGATTCTACGCTAGATTCTACACTAGATTCTACACTAGAATTATGGGTTCTATTGGAATCTGGGAAAGGCACATGGGAGCGCGTTATTTTATTGTCTATCGTCCGTCAACGTTTGTCTCGATGAGCGCACGTCGACAGAGGTGAGCAATCCTTTCCCAGGTCTGCCTAAATTTCAAGTTTGGAAATCTTCTAAAGTATATTTATCGCTTTAGTTAAATATTGTTTGTATCATTTTAGGAGCATTAGGCTCCTTTAGGTCACGAATGGACGAGCAAATTTTTCAACTAAACAAAACGTCGTATCATAGTTAACTATGATAGTATCAAGAAATGACCTATTTTTCGGTTGATTTCGAGCGAAACAATAGGTCGTTGGCACATGCAAGTAAAAATAGCGATATTTTGAGGAACGTTTTCCTCGTTTTCTCGATGAAAAAGCTACAATGTTCTCCCAGACAATTTTCCCTTGAGGTCTCTTCTACTTCATATGTGATTCTGTTTTGGTGATTAGCAGGTATAAGTTATGAAAATATGCTTTGTTTATTTACTTGATAGTTTATACGCGTGACAGAGTTAATTTCACAACCCGATGACATAAAAAAAGGCAAGGTATAAAATACAACAGTGTAAAGTACTACAATTTGGTTTAAATTCTAAGGAGATACTATCAATCCCACTATGGGGCTGTATTATCCTCCGAAAAGGCTCAATTATCCTCCGAAGAAGCTTACTTATCCTTCGAAGAGGCTCAATTATCGTCCGAAGAGGCTGATATTTTTTTTATCTGCATTTTTTAATCTGACGTCAGCCATTGGCCAAAAATCGGCCTAAAATTTCAATAACACCTACAAAACCTTTCGCTTTACCGTATAGAAATACCAAATGAAAGCTGTGATAAATAATATGGTTGAATTTGATGAAAACACGGCTTCTTTGTCCTAAACAAATATCTACACCGTACTATCGACCAAGTACAACTACGAGGTAGATTTAGCTGATTAATAGTCAGTTTCTTTCTGTGTAAACAGCAACCTAAAAGTTGAATAACACTTGAAAAGCCTTTCGTTTTATCGCTTAGAAAAGCGATATGAATGCCGTGATAAGTGAAATTGTTTAGGTTTTTAGCAAAATAAACTTTATTTACCTAAACTCGTGGAAAGACGTTAGCCAATTACGAGCTGCACGTCAAGCCAATTACGAGCTGCACGTCAAGCACGAGGTAGCGATCGCAAATCCACAGTAATCGGAAAGAAAGAATAATGCCGACATTTCTTCATTTGAGGGGTGATTGGTTCCGAAGTTTAGCGATTATCTACGAGACAGACTTCGGTAATCGGCTGACTGCTGATTGATTGTTTGAGTACTTTTTGGGCTTCCTGTGATGTTACACTCTTACTCACGGTCACACAACCGATTGCATAGTGGCTTCGCCTCTTCGAGGCAGTAGCCACAAGAATCGAAGTGTCATGAAAATCCATCGATTTTTAAGAAAACAGGAGGACAATATTGTGAAAAAAACACTGTTATAAATCGGCCCATAACGACAAACGCGACTCGAAAATAAATTTTCGAATACACCGTTTGTGATGCATGGAAAATATTTTGGCCTTCAATATTAGACTAGATCAATGACAACCGAGTCAAAGAAACCGATTCACATGAGTCAAATAATTCCAATAATCTTCTTAGTTTAGGCTACTAATAATAACAATCGATTCATGAAGGATTCCAGTAATTAATAACAACCGATTTATCTTCGTTCAGTACAATACCTGACAAACTGCTTGTCACCAAAATGAGAAGATTCAGAGCGCTGACCGCGTACGTCACGTTTTCCATCGTATAACACTCTAACGAATATTGTTTTCGGCCTTAAAATCGCTTGGACAGTACAGGATGAAAAGAATCGCGAAGATTTCTATGAGAATATATATGCATAATGACTCGAGGTTTCTTGGAAATCAATTATATACTCCTTAAATATTTTTTTCTTGGAACTCACTAACCGGAAAACAGTATTTTCAATTCTTAGAAAACCCGGAAATGTAGTTTTTCAGTCTATTTTTATTTCTTAGTTTCTTTAATAAATGTTAAAGTCCTGCAGAAAGATCTATATAGTGGTACAATATTATCAAGCATTGTAGACCGACAAGCGAAGTGTTGCTGACATGTAATATAAACACGGCCATGAAATTTCGGTTCAAAGAAGTTATATTTCAGCGTGATCGCAAGCAATCGGGCACCGAAGACTCTAAGTCGACTAAGGGATTAGATTATTATTAATGCAAAAGATACTTGTTTATGAAATGTTTTAAATCTCATGAACATGAAATACTTGAACGGCCTACTAGTTATAATATTCTACTTATTTTAGAATTCCAAATACGATCTTTTTGCATTCGAACGTAACAGAGCCTTGCGTTACTTCTTCTCAGTGTCACGATGGATACACAACCATATCGTTTACGTGTTTCAGCGTATATATTGATACGTACGTTTTTCCTTCCGTATTTTTAAATTGTAGAATCTAACACTATACTTATGTCTAGCTGATCGTTATAAATATTATTATAGCAGATCAGTACACTGAGCTGATCGGGATTTTTTTACAGAATAAATAATTAAAGATATTCTCATCATCATCATCATCATCATCATCATTTCATTATTATTATCATTAAAGTGTATATGATAAGGAAACATTTCATCGTTTAAAATGTATAGTTTGTTAGTAATAATAAATATATCGTAATAAAATTTGTTTCAAAAGCTTATTTCTTGAGATATTTGAGAAAATTAAGCCCAATTTATCACGTCATTTTGTTGACACGTACTCTAGATTTGGTAGTAATGTACTAAAGATAAATTGTAATTCTCATAAAATACTGTAACAACAAAAGGCATATTCTATTCAGCTTCATTCGATAGCTTACATAGTACTCTTTAAATGTTGGGAAACTGCTTTGCAAAGCAATACCTCCTCCCCCTCCATGGTAGAGGCAACAATTGCACACCCTCCCTCCTTTCACATTTCAATATTTACTTGAGTAAGCGTATTCCTTGTGGTGGATAGAATGGATAGAATTGATTAGAAATTACAAAAAGAAGGGATCATAAAAACTCTAAACTATATTAAGTTGTCGATACAGAAAAATACGTCTTGATCCTTTAAACTTTCTGAAAAGATTCATTTTCCTTCAATGAGACAGGAAGAAAATTCCTAGTAAATTCAAAACTATTTTTGTAATGATACTGTTTTTGTTCTAACTGATTCGTCATCGGCTTCGGTAATTAATTCGGTAAAAAAAATATATATAGAATAGAGTAGAGTAGAGTAGAGTAGAGTAGAGTAGAGTAGAGTAGAGTAGAGTAGAGTAGAGTAGAGTAGAGTAGAGTAGAGTAGAGTAGAGTAGAGTA